CCATTTCCTAATATATTGAGTGAATGAGAGCCTTATCTAAGATCAGATGATGATTGACTCATCATTCCTCGTCATTATAAGATTTATCGATGATACTTTTAGGGAAGATTGGACTAAAATCGGCCTATATATGCTGAAAGTTTTAGTTTGTTCTGCTATGGTTTCAACAAATAACGAGCTTACTCTTTCAGTGATTCCACAATCACTGATTATTTAAACCTTGGTTTTTATATAAAAATGTGTCCTCTATAATCTTCTATCGATTGCTGAAAACCGCAGATCATTACGACTTTTCGTTCAAAAGTTATAAGCTTTTTTTCCACCGGCCTTCTTTTAAAATTCCGATAGTAGTTATTGTCTCAAATGTAAATGTAATATCTTTCAAGTTCGATTGGTATAGAATGATAATAAATTACTTACGAGGGACCCTACCCAGGTGTCCAACTCCGATTCAGTTCATTCATACATCATTCGATAGAGTATAGTGAGATGTTCAGAAGCTAAAAATATTATCGGCCATCAACGCTTTCTCAAGGCGTCATAGTCATTTTACTAGAATTTTAGCCTATGGCATGGTATCCATCAAAAACTCAAATGAAGATATTTTGATCTGAAATTTTGTTCACAGGTAGGCCTACTTGTAACTAGAATGTGTTGAAAAATTCAAGTCAAAAGAATGTTCCATTCATGAGATATTGAGTTTTCAAAAAAACATGACGTCCTCCAATCTTTTCGTAGAATATAAGTGATTTTGAAAATTCAATATCTCATGAAGGGAACATTCTTTTGACTCGAATTTTTCAAGACATTCTAGTTATAAGTAGGCTTACCTGTGAACAAAATTTTAGGTCAAAATATCTTCATTTGAGTTTTTGGTCGGTACCATGCCATGGGCTAAAATTCTAGTAAAATGACTATGACGCCTCGCGAAAGAGTTGATGGCCGATAATATTTTTAGCTTTTGAACATCTCACTATACTCTATCGAATGACGTATGAATGAACTGAATCGGAGTTGGACACCTGGGTAGGATCCCTCGTTAGTTGAATTATTCGTTTTATTATCAACGTTTTAAGAGTAGCTGATGAGTCTATACAAAGTGATGCATTTACACTAAATATATTACGAAAGGATTAAACATTGTTCTTATTTATCCAAATATTATTTCATGCACATAATACTATTTTATCGAAAACATCTTCTCAAAAATCATACATTGGGTTAGCTTATCAAATCTACCAATAACAGAACCTACCAAGGCTAAAGGTAACCTTTCGATGTTTTATTGTTAATAAAACGAATTCACTGATAGATCATACGAATCAAAGCAACGTTCAAGAAGAAAATAGAAAATATTGATACTCTTTGACTTTATAATAAAATAAGAAAAGTTTAAGATTTAATTAAATTTACATTGAGAAATTTTCAACGTTGAAAATATCAGAAAAAAATCTACTAAAATTAGATCTAAATCACCGAAATTGAGATAAACAGATTTATTTTGTAGATCTTTACGTGTGTGTCACACGAAAATCTTCAATAATGAAAAGTTACTTAACCTATAGTCAGAAAAAGTCTTCAAATGTAGATTGTCAATAATTATTTTTTTATTTTTTTTAAATACTTCTTAGCAAAAGAATATGAAGAGATATTTTTTATAGCGCATTTAGAATTAAAAACATACTACGCGGAATATTCAAATATGAATTCTTTGTAAAAAAAAAGTCAAATAAATAATTTTCTATTCTATAAAATATTATTTTTATTCTTTGCAAATATTATTTAGAATAAATTTAATTCATTATTTGAAGAATATAAATATAAAATAACTTTTTTTAGAAAGTTGTGACACATCAATCAATATAAATAAACAACGTGCAAAAGTATTTGCTCATCTTATTTCAATGCCTATTCAACTCAAATATCTTCTTATTGAAAAAATTGAATGGCTTTTTCATATTGTTCAATATGTAAGTATCTATTAGATTTTTTTATTTTACTTTAAATTTAAAAAAAAATTCGTATTTTTAATATTTAATTTAAACAAATGAATTTTAAAAATTAATATAATATTAAATAGAATGATTTGATATTAATGCTTTCTTATCTATGGCTAAACGCTAAAAACTCGTCTAGAAACATTAACTTAATAATCTCTAATATACACAACACAAGTTTGAATAAGATTTATTAAGCGTTAATGTACTTATCATAAAGAACTGCTATTATTAGCGAGGCGAAATATATTCGATAAAAACAGTATATACAGTAGAAATGTCCATTGTGGTAGCAGCACGATGGAGTTTTTAAAAGATGATCGCGATGCAACAGAAGTTTTAACAACACCATCTGCCAGCAGCGGATTTTTTTTGAAAACATTGTAAAACTTCATGAATATACACAGCATTTGAGTGCTTACAACTGTGTTGTTCAGCGACTACCCAGGTCAAAAGACCCCAATCGGATCTCGCCAGTTCTGAATAATTTCGGTCGGATCCGGTCCTATATTTGTCGGATTCCCATCAGCCGGATTCCGGTCCGGATTTCATCGGAATTCGACGGAACGTGATAAAATCCGACCTGATCCGACCCAGATTTCATCGTGTTCCGTCGAATTCCGATGAAATCCGGCTGATGGGAATCCGACAAAAACCTTGTCGGATCCGATCGGTTTTTTATGAAAGATGTCGGATTCCGATGAGATCCGAGGCGGATCCCATCGTTTTCGATCGAATCTACAGGTCGGATTGAATCTCCTGGGTAATTGAATCTCATGGATTCATAATAGAAATTCTACTTCCATACAATATTAGCATGAGTTTTTAAAAACCGTTGCGGTACGGTAGCCTTGTCTATCCTAAGACCGTGGTGTGTCAGCGGCAGATTCTTGATTACGATGAACATCTATGATATACAGTGTGTCTCTGAGCAAGAAGCTGAGAGATATGATCAGTTCAACATTGAAAACAAATCGTGATTTCCTTCAATAAAACAAACAGAAAGTGCTAAGTGTTATTCGACAAATTTTGTTTTGTCTACGACATATATAGATCTATCTGTCCATTTTGATCGTTTCGAATCAAACCTAAGTACATATACAAATAACAACAAAAACCTCTTCGCAGCAAAGGCTGGGTTGTTGTTTCTAAATCTACGATATGGTATATTATCAGATGAGTTAAAAGACGTTTCTTTATTCCAATTAATAGCAGATGAACGTCTCATCAATAACAGCTATATTTGTTTTGCTGCAAAAAATAAAACCAAAAGATTTTGACATAATATGTTTTAGAACTGACAAAGCAACATTATAATAATATGCTTGTTAGGGGTAGTTACCATTTTGCTTAAACTTCATCAAAAAACGGGCTTGTATCCAAAGAGATCGAAATAATAATGTCTGACTGCTCAAGCCTAAGTATGTTCTCTTGACAACTTATGTCAAACAGTATTAATAAAATATTGATATCTCTCATAAACAAATCTCAAAAGATCATTTTTATTCAAAATTCAATGTGAAAAAATAGCGTAAATAGAAAGTGAACTGATTTTTACAGGTATAGATAAAACTTATTGATGCTCTTTTCAACATTGCTTAAGTAAACAAATATTTTAACTTTTTTATGAAAAGAACCACAAACATAAAAATACAATTGATTTAAAAAACATCTGTCAATGAAAGAAGCTGTAGAAAAAAGAATAACACAAAAATATAAAAAAGAAAGATTAAACAAAGTTTTGATCTTTTTAAGATCAAAATACTTATATATCTCACAGTTTTTGTACGTGGAACAATCTAAATGAAAAAAAAAATTTAGTCAAGTTGAGTCTCAGAATCGTTTCAAATCAATCTAATCTGACTTGGCGTCTAATGTCTTTGTGAAAATATGTTTTTTATTTCAAATGACAAAACCAACAGTTCAACAAAAATTAAAGAGGGTTTCACAAGCAAAACGTTTTCAGCCTAAAAATCAAGTTTAGAGAAATTACTTCTAAAAAGAGGAATCTCATTTGATTGTAAATTAAATATAGAATTTCTTGATGCCTATATTGCAGTATAAAAGTTTTTGCAGCAAACTATGAATCGAATACATGAATGACTGTAGAATCTGGTAACAAAAATGTGAGTCATATGGGCCCTGATAGCTTACCAATAAATAAGTCACCGTTTGAAATAAAACTAATTTCTACATATCTCATGATTCAAGAGAATTAAACTTTTATTACAATCAAACAAAATCAGCTTTTAGTATTTGAATAAAAAAAAACAATCGTTGAAATAGTTACAGAAATTATAGAATTGTTCAATTCTTACTCTTTATGTTATTATATATTTAATTTATTTAATCAACCAGTTTTCCATTATTCATAATTTTGTATAAATGTGTAAACACATTTTTTTCTTTCCTTTTTTTTAGGCATCGGATGCTCTAAAAAAAGATGCATTGAGTACCGTTCAATGTGTTGAAGTTGGTATTCCTAGTTGTAATTCTGGTTTCAATAAATCGATTCATATTGGCAAAAATCTTGTACCGTTTCTCAGTACTCATACGCCTTATTTACAAATATTACGTCTTTGGCGACCAGATGATTTTCCTTGGACATCTAGTAAGTTTATTTTAGATAAACATCTATTTAGTATCAAGAAGTAGAATCTTGTAAGTGTAGGGAATTTTTTTACGCATAGTAATCTTAAAAATTCGAGATATATCCACGAATTCGCAATTCAAGGAGAATGTAGGAATGGAAGGATATCCCTAGGGTCTATCTCCCTTAGAAATGACGAAAATCAAGGAATTGTAGCAAATGAAGGAAAATGAAGATGAATGTAGGAATTAAAGAAATTTAAGACAGATGAAGAACTGAGATATCTATAGATTCGAACTATCTTAGAATTCAAGTTATTGAAGACTTTAAATAGTTTTGAAATTCGCAGTTTTAATCCTCAGGAAGTAGAATAAATTGAAGCAAATGGTATAGAAATCAGAAAATTGAAAGACTGCGTTTAGTGCGTTGAAATGAATAGCTTTGGCGGTTGTTATGACAATTAGAATAAAGCTAATTTAGCAGATAAATTTAATGAATGAAAACGAGACGATATGCAGAAGAAGAAGAAGAATATCCTGCCTTTCGGCTACCTTTCAGTATAGGTTGATGTTCGAGGACATTTTCATTGCCCCAATATCTTTTTCTACCACTATTTCTAGCTGTAGCTCTGGACACAAGGCTGATCTGACTTAGAATTCTTTCGCTCATTTGAGTCCTTCATACACATTGACTAACTACATACTAGCTATAAAAGCGGGTGTATGTCACAATGTAGTCAGTATGCTATCGTACGGGTAATCCGAGACAGACAGCCGTTAGTGACTTGTCTAGAGTCGTTCCAGGGTGGGTAGTACCGAGGTTCGAACACAGTACCTTGATAGTGTGTGTCGAACAACTTCACCACTCAGCCATGGCGGCCTGACAACAGGCAGAACGTTGCTTTTTTGTATAGACGGCTTCGATTCTTACTGTTTAGTTCTTACGTCACTGAAAAATGCAGCCTCTTTTCGGAAAAAATTAAGTTGAACTTTATTTAGATGCGGTATTAAGTACAGGCGTTAGTCAATGATTCAAGAGGTTAACACAATACTGGTTGAAAGATTGTTTCCTATGTACTGCTGTTGCCGAGCGCATTATCCTGTCAGTTATGAAGGAAAGGGAGAAATTTCAGTTTTGTAACAGGCCGAAATTGGACCATTGAGCAAATCTCCGAGGAATAACCAAGGGGGAAAGTGCAGGCACCCAGCACCTCAGCACCTACAGCATCTGTTCGGCACCTATACCACATTTCACTATGAGCACCTACAGCACCTACGGTACCTACAACCACTGTTCCATTATCTTAAGTACTTTTTCAGCACCTTGTGATAAAATTTAAAGGGCAGAGCCTAAACACTAAATTTTATCACAAGGTGCTGAGAAAAGTACTTAAGATAATGGACCAGTGGTTGTAGGTGCTGTAGGTGCTCATAGTGAAATGTGGTATAGGTGCCGAACAGGTGCTGTAGGTGCCGGTAGGTGCTGGTAGGTGCCGAACAGGTGCTCAGGTTCTGGATGCCTGCACTTACCCTCGTGGGAATAACTAACATTGAGAAATGTGAATAAAAACAGTTTTTGTGGCTCCATCAATGAAGTGCTGATGAATGATAGGACATCTGTTTGGATATTGCACGTGCTACCTATCAGTTCTTTCGAGACACACAAATGCTTCGAACAACCACCATAATTTTTTTGCAATAATTAGAAGTTATTCCCCTATCAGCCTCATCCACTGTCTCATGATATCGGATACTTCGCTCACACCCTCACGCTGTTTGATGTGGTTGGGAACTTCGTACTATTGGCTTGAGTTTTCTTGATTTTCTTGAATTCCTTGACTTGTATGGTAGCATTAAGGTTTATATTTGTAACTTATATGGTAACACTGAATTCCTTGAGTTGCCTTGATTTCTTCTGACTTTCTTAAATTGTTTCATTTCCTTGAACTCCTTGAATTTCTTCAATTGCCTGGAATTGCCAATCTGTGGATCGGAGGTACTGCTGAAAAATTCATCGCTCTGTTGAGCAAGAATATGAAAAATGTCTTTTTATGTTTGTAAGTTAAAAATTTTTTTATTGTGTCCTACATTCTAAGATCAGATACTTATAGTCGTCTATTAATATTACCTTCTTTGAGAAACAATGATGCAAAAATAGTCTTTATCAAAATTCACAGTGGTTAACTTAAGATATACATTCATTGACAACACTATACGATTGAAATTGTTTTTTCTACATATGCGAAGTAAGCTTCAAAAGACAAAGGAAGAAAAGACGTGTAGAACCAGAAATGTGCATCTCAAGAAAGAAGGCATTACGAGACATTTTATCTACTCTTGATCGATTTTGATGCCGTCTATAAACAATAATAAGATTGAATTTTTTATAACATTTACTTTTTTTTTCATGAGTTCTTTAAAATCTTCGGAATATGATCCAAACAAACATCAATAATTCTTTTGAAAGGAGATGAGAAAATTCTTCTTTCTCTTTATTAGTATTTTAGATAGACAATCAAAATATTTATCTTAATTTTGTCAATTAATTTTTAGGAAGAGATTCTTTTCTTTTTTATCATGAAAATATGAAAATTTTTAATATTATCTATACGAATATTACTATATTTGTTCATTGAATTAAGTCGAAAAATAATTTTAAATTTAGATAGAAATAGGATAGACAATCATATTCTCATTTATATTATTGCTAACTAATTTGTTTTCTTCGGTATATATAAATCAGAAATAAAATAGTTTTTTTTTCGTCTAATTCATCGAAAAATGAAGAAGTAATTTAATTCTTTTCCTTAGATAAAAATTGTTAATTATTAAATGATGCATATTCTGTCTTCTCGCATTTCTATATTGTTATTTCTCTTTATTGTTTTGCTGCAAAATGAAATTCTTTTTTTCATAACTTCCTTTCGTGTGTCCTCAATTCTGATTTTGAGAGGATTATTTTAAGATATGTCTAAGTATCTTTTTCAATTGATTTACTCAAGAAATGGCACGTTTTAAAGTTTTCTCGTTCATAATTTTATTTTAATTAGTCAAGACGATGACATAATCTATCTAAAAATAATATTTAATTATTATCTTTGGTTTGATATGAATAAAGTTTTTTTTTTATCTTTTAGTCTTGTACAATTCTACTCATATAAGACAAAACCAAAAAGAAAATTAGATTTTAATCAAATTTAAAAAATTGTCACTTTTATGAATGATAAGGATTCATTGATTAATTCTCTCATTCTACTCTGTAAACTCTTTTTCTTTACTGCATTTGATATTTCATAAGCGATTTTCTCTTATCATTCATCATCAACTACAGAATATCCTTGTTTATATATTTTTTCACCTTACCTCGTTGCTTGTTTTTTTGCCGTATTACGTTCTTTTATTGTAAATCAGTCGTGAATATAGAAGAGAAGTGAGGTATACTCATCCCTTCCTTTTGATTTAAATTCGCATTGCTTTTCCAACAATGTAATATGAGAATTAGATCTTATATTAATTAGAGAAAGAGATTAACACATTCGACGCGATGGGTTCCATCAGTGAGACCCGCCATTCTCTGATAACGGGTAACTCATAATGACTGGCAGAACTTTGCATTTCGTATTTTAAGTTCTAAAGATGTTTCATTAGGAAAGCAAAATATATCAAAAGACGCAGCGTGAAAAGCTCTACAATCTGGAAAGTAAAGCTTATTTTAGTTGTGTATTTTTGTTTTCAAAAAAAGCAAAATTTCGGGAGACCAATTTTTGTTAGAGAGTAATGGGACCGACCAGTGGGTCTCATCGTGGCGAATGTGTTAAATATTCCTATTCTACAACAAACCAATTCAAAGTACAGAATATGATTATCATTTGTTGTTTTATGAAATAGAAACATAATTAAGACAGACATGTCCATTATATTAATTGATTGTACTCTTTTTATTTTAGTTCGACCAGATATAACACGAGGACATTTGACTTCTATTCAAGTTTCACGATGGATAAAATCTTTACAAACATCTCAATCGATTGGTATGGAAATAAAAAAGAAAGACAAAGATTGATTAAGAAGAAAAAATAAATTCTTTTTGTTTAGTTGAACATGTAAATATTTTTCAAAAAGATCTTTGTCAATTAATTCAACAATTAAAACAATTGGTTTTTCTTGATATTCATGGAAAAATTCATCCTAGCAAAGTCAAATCATACCGTTGTATGGCTCAAAAATGTTTTCCTCATAGTAAGATTGACATTGAAATATCTAGATTTCGTCTTTGGATATAATTTTCTCGTCATGATATTATGATATGTTAAATATTCTCTTCAACAATTTCTTTTCTCTTTTGTTTGTATTTCTTTATTAAATGTTTATCAAATAAAAAAATTCTAATATAATTATTTAATTATTATTTTTATTTTAATTATATATTTGACAAAATTCATATTTATTTGATTAATATCTCTTTTTACAATTTAATTTTAATCTAAAAGATTAAATGAGAACTAGAATTATTTCTGAATTTAATAAAACATTTCATTGTTTTCATAATATTTTATTCTTTTTCATAAATCAAAAATCATAATGAAAAAAAAAGGCATGTGTACAAAACATGAGATTATAGGTCTTATATTTGTTTAATTATCTGTTGTATTTTAACCATCAATATGTTCATGTTCAAGTTCATCTTCATCATCATCATTGTCATCTTCGTCTTCATCTGGATCATCATTACTACGAGGTTCCAACGAATAACTAAATGAAAAAAGAATTTATTCAATTTTTTTTTATCAAGAAAATCTAGATAATAACTCACTCGATCACTGACGGAATAAATAATGAATTTTGATTTATATATAAAAAACATTTTTCAAATTTTTCTAAAATATCTGATCGATTTCGAAAATTATGTCTTAATATTTGAATATGTTTATTTTGAAATTTCCATACAAATTGATTTAAATCTTTTGAGTTGAATAAATCAATCTTCATCAGAGCTAGATCAATTGTATTTGTAGAAAAAGTCCATCTAACACTGAAAATGCATTCTTTTGTTGAACAGTTATATGTAACCCATAAATTAGCTGGTAAGATGGTATTTGCATCATTTGGATGATCTATTAAAAGACATTATATTTTCATATTTAAAAAAAAAGAATTCTTTTAGATAATTAACTCACTACGCATTAATTCAAGTTCTTCTTTAGTTTGAGCACATGTAATTGATTTTATAATTATTATTTTATTTATCAAATGATTAACTAAATATCGACAATCAATATTGCAATGCTTGAATATCATATCCAATATTGATTGATCTGGATTTATTAATAATGCGAATGCATTACGAATTGCATCACGAGAAGCATGTGTTCCTCCACCAATCACTAATTGTAAATGTTTTAAATCATTCACACGAAATGTATTTGATAAACGAAATTTTTTTGATAATATAGTGCTTATTTCAATCCATATATCTTCTAAAAACATTGAAAGTAATTCTGGTGCAGAAGTTTTTTTGGTGATAAGTCTTGAATGATGTTTCAAGTACGCATAACACTGATGATCTAGATTGAAACTCATTAAAATAAGATAGCATGTTGATAAATAATCAGTTGATATTGTTGTTCTTGAAATATTTGCTATATCTTGCGTCACAATTACATCACAGTTTTTCAGTATATCTATAATAAATATTCAATTATTAAAAAACAATTCTATATTTTAAATGAATTTTACCGTTATAAAAAAATTTTGAATCAATTTCTATTTCCGATGACACACAACGATAATAAAATAATAAATTAAACACACTATTTAATTTTGATAATCTTGGCATAATCATATATTTATTCTGTTCTTTTTTGGTTGAAATCTAACAAAAAACAAACAAATTATTTGGGTTAGTCGTGTGGAACATGTGGCAAAATAATCAAAGAACTTTAACAACGAGCGATTATGAACAGATTTCATAGAAAACTATTGAAGATTTCTACTAAATTTCAAATTCATCTTTAAGTTTTTTTATTAGATAAAAGCATATTTAATAAAAACACAATTAAAATTACTTTGTTGCATTTTTTTAAAATTTAATAAATATTGAAATCTTTGTCAATATAAAGAAATATCTTTTTTTTTTTATTGGAGAAAAAATAAATTTTTAAAAATGAAATGAAAGAAAATCTTTTATCATCTCAAATTGAATATTAAAGATAAATGGAAATAATTATTTTTTCTTTTAATTTATCCATAAATTGAAAAGAATACAATTAAATCCAATTGAATAAAATAAAGGAGAAATACGAGATATTCTATTAAATAAAACACTTTCATACCTTTATTTCTTCTGTTTCAGTTGATGGTGGAATATTTTTGAGCAATTGGATTTCATTTAAAATGATATTTTTATTTTGAATACATAACAAAATTAAATCATCTTTCTTCAATATATTTTGATTGATGTCGATTGAACATTTTTCTTTTTGTTGTTCTATTAAATTAAATGAACAAACAGTTGTACATTGATTATTATTATTATTATTTATATTAATTTGATAAATTCCATAACCATATAATTTAATATTGTTGAATTTTAATTGAATTTTTTTATTGTCAACATATGTAATCATTCTAGTTAAATCTTGTAATGCTTGATTATCTTTATAAAGCAATATATATTGATCAGATAAATTTTTAATAATAAGATTTATTTCATAATCAGAACTTTTTATAACTGTATGTAATAGTGATGGTGGTTCAATAGGCATTCGAAAAACATGAATAAATGATGTTTCAAAAATAACATTAGAATTACATAAGCTATAAATACCTAATAAAAAACAAAGAAAAGATAAATACTTAAATATATTCAAAAAATCTGAACCTTGATCTGCAAAAGTTATATCTTGAATAATTAATTTATGTGTTGTTGATTGATTTGGTACTGAACATATAGTATTTATCATATGTTGATTTGATGATTCAATAGGATAACCATTTTTAAACCACATTAATTTATTATTTGTATCATATAATGGTTCTTCCAATTGAATTATAAATTCTAAATTTTCGTGCAAATTAAATTTATCTTTAGATAATATAATTGATTTGCGTTGTAAACAACACGGTTTGATCGATAAAACAAACAAATGTTTTAAGTTTTGATTAATATAGATCGAATAAACACCTTCATCATTTAAATTAATATCTGATAAACTAATAATCCAATGACTTAATTCTGATGATGTATCATCTGATGGATTAATTTCAAAGTCATTATATAATGGAACATTATTTTTTAATAAAATAAGATAATCTTTTAATAATAAATTACGATCATGTTGAAAAATTATTTCGATAATTAAATCATCACCTAAAATTAAAAAAAACGAATTAAATTGAAATTTAATACGTAAATATAGTCATTTTTTAGATTGTCTAAAAGAAGAATCAGCTTTTTAAAAAAAAATAATTTACCTTCTGTTACTTGTTTTGTTTCAATTGAATTTAAAGATTTTATTAGAGAATCTTGATTATCATTATTTATTTTCATTTTTATTAAATCAATAATTATCACTTGGTATTGTTTGTCTATCAATTTGAAAGATAAAAAATATTTAATTAAATTTGTTTTTTTTGTCTTAATTAACTCTAATTCTTGTGTTGAACTTTCGGATACTATTTTAAATTTATTATCAATTAAATCTGGTAAATTTTCTTCGTTCGGATTCGGATGATACCATTTAAATGAAATAAATGCTTTATTTATTTTTAAATGAATAGATTCAATTGGTTCTATAATTTCTTCCCAAGCAATTGATTTATCTATATAGATCAAATTTGAATCATCAATTTGTATTGTACATCTCGTTTTACAATAATTTCCAAGATAACACGTGTATAAACCTGAATCTTCTTCATTAACATGATATAAAATTAATATTGAAATTGAATCGAAATAATAAGTTTCAAAATTATTTGATATGGATGAAAGACTTGATTCATTTTTGAACCATTGTACATGATTTGGTTTACGATTGGTTTCACAAAAAACGATTAGCTTATCATTTTTGTCTAAGCGTATTTGTTCAGGTAATGGATGAATTAATTTTAATTCCTCTTCAAATGTATTAAAATCATATGATGTCGATTTATTAATTAATGATCGTGATAATTGTTGATTAGTATTTGACTTTTCATTTATTACTTCAATCTTTGCATATGTTAATGTATTTTCAATTCGACAAAAATATTCTCCTGTATCATCAAGTTTAACAGCTGATATAATGAGGATATGTACAGTTGTTTGTGAGATTAAATGAAATTTATTATCATTAAAAATCCGCTTAGTTTCATTATATTTATTACGAGCAGTATTTTTAAACCATACAACTTTATTGGATGGTTTTGATGTTTTAACAACAAGTGCTAAAGCTTTTTTTTGTTCGACACATTGATCAACAAGTTCCTGTGTAATACGAATACTAGATGATAATTTGTTTATTTTAATACGATGTGTCTTTAATAGAATAACAGACGATGTTTGTAATGTTGTTTTATCTGTAGCAGATGTTGTGTGTTGATTCATTCTAATAAAAAAAAATTACATTTTATTGTTTTCTTAAAAGATGCTGTTTAATTACTTTTCTCGAATTCAGAAAAGAAATAATATGAATTTTAAAAAATTCTATTAAAAAAAAATTTGTTGAGTGAAAATAAAATCTGAAATAAGTTTTAATTATTTTTCTCCGAAAATAAAAGAAATAACGACAGAGGCAAAAGTTTTCCATTAATTTTGTTTTTCATATAACTCTCCGATGAAATGTTGTAGGGACTTGATTGTTTTTTGTTAGAAAGAGCAATATGTCTAGTGTAAAAATATATAAAAGAATTTGATTGGAAATAATTTTCAAAGGCCACAGTGATCATAGATTGCAAGGATTCGAAAAACTCTTCCACAGTTTTGATCACATTTTTTGTATTGCAGCTCGAAAACAAGTTTTTGTCTGAATATCTCACAGAGAAGTTACGTCCTATTCCAAACAATATCGTTTGGTAGAGGACTCAATAGCCTTTCTTTTTCATATAAAATATATAGCTTCTGGCAACCTCCCTTGCAAAACAGAATTTAGTTTTTGACTACTATTGACATTGATGAAAAATCGTTGATTCAGATGAATAAAAAAAAGAACTTGTCTAATTAAAGGAAATTTTTCTAAATTTAAAAAAAGTTGCACAAGAGTTTTCCAATTCCTTTTGTTCTACGATGGTTGTAGTCTTCGAAAGA